GACTGACTGACTGACTGACTGACTGACTGACTGACTGACTGACTGACTGACTGACTGACTGACTGACTGACTGACTGACTGACTGACTGACTGACTGACTGACTGACTGACTGACTGACTGACTGACTAACTGACTGACTAACTAACTAACTCACTCACTAACTGACTAACCAACTAGCTAACTAAATAACTAACTAACTAACTAACTAACTAACTTACTAACCAATCAACCAACTAACTAACTAACTAGCTAATTAACTAACACACAATCAAACTGACACACACAAGCACACACACACACACACAAAATCAAACCACGATAAACAAAAATCATCCAAAAGAAACAAGTCGAATATAATAAGAATCTTTTAATAAATTCACTCAACGCCGTCATTTCAAAGTTGGCAGTCTAATATCAGGGATTTAAACAAAAAAGTACAAGTAAATGACAAAGTTTTTTTTTTTTTCAGCATCTCTTATACATATTTGTCAAGAATTTACGCTTCAGATATGACATTTGGCCTAAATGGATGTCTTGAACATAGTGCATAATTTCCTCATCACCACCAGTAACAGAAACATTGCAAATCCCATCTACATGCATATGAGCCAAAATGATCAATAAATTGATCGTGGGCCCTTAAGATATAGAAGAAGAAGAAATATGAACGTAAAGAAAAAAGACATTCAGTAACACCAAAGAAGTCCAAACAACGAACACCACTAAATCACCAAGTACATTTAACTTTACAGGGGAAATAGCAATCATAACTTTTTAAATGCATGTAATATTCTTCAGGCAAATTTTCCGATTCAACATTTTCACAAATCTATCAGAACTTCCAGTGGCGTAGGTAGGGTTTGACTCACCCATGGCGGGAACTGAGTTTTTGTGGGAATTATGATGAGTTTACGCGATAGCAGGCGGACATTATCGCAAAGTTCCTGCCATTATTTACTCAAAAAAATCGGGTGATATTTTCTAGTATATAAGAATGAGCCAGGCGGACCATAACGCCAAAGAAACTTAGCGATCTAAATACGTTCGGATTCTTAAAAACAATGATAGTAATTTTCTATTATTTTACGGAAATCGAATAAATTTAAATGCGCCAAAAAATAAAATATATCTGCTTTTACTATTGTAAATTTTTAAGTTTTATTATTATAAATCAGAAATACGGCTGCAGTGCCAATTTAAAAAAAAACCGGGGGATCGAGGGCACCTCAAGGGGGCCCCCCTCAAGTTCGGGGCCCTACGCGGATGAGTAGTCAGCGTATGCCTAAGAACGGGCCTGTGGATATTGACATGATTTTTGGATTGCGACTGGGAACGTACTAAGCCTCTGTAGACCAGAAGTTTTAGCCAACCTAATAGATCAACTAATTAAAATTACAATCTATATTGCTGCATTGCAAGAAATTGATAGAAAATTCACCCTCAAGACAAAAAACTGCACCAAATTTTATAGTGGCAACCAGGGTTTCTTTCAGCTATATCTCGGGGGGGGGGGGGGGGGGCAGTACCCCCGGGGAAAGCCAAGTGCCCCCCCCCGACCAAAATTATGGCCAACAATAAATCACCTGCCAACCCTCCCCCCGAAAAATCTGAAGTGCCCCCCCCCCAGGGCAGGCCTTTGGCCACTGCAACCTATGCGGCCGGAGTGGGCCCCGCACTTTCATAGGCCCCACTTTCTAATAAAAAATCTTAATTTTCACTTATCCTTATCCCTACCCAGACTGGGCCCCATGCAATCCGTTTCGAATAGGGCCCCGCAATTGTTAGGGCCGGCCCTGTCCCCCCCCCCTCCTGGGGGTGGGAAATTTCTGAAATAGTCACTGTGGGCAACAGCACTAAACCTCTTGGAACAAGATTTTATGTGAAGAAAGAATCCGTTGGTGCAGTCTTATATATTGTGTTAAACTTAAACCAGAGAATGAAAGAGTGTGCTATTTGAGTGGGCGAGGAAAATGTTGGATATAACATTTATAAATTGTCGTTATATATACAAATATTTACATTATAT